ATCTACTTACGGTTTGAAGTACTCTACCAGTGCCAACAGCAAGTTTTGATCATAAAAGAGAATAAGAATTCCGTCTGGAAATATTAATGGTAATGATAGACTGAGAGCGTTTGCCAGAATTTCGATTCAATTGTTGATTTAACCAGCAACCAGAGTTGATTCAGATGAACTGCTTAAAGTTTTATAGAAAAATAATCTAAATATTACATTACATTACATATTTTACGGTTTTTAATCTGTAAGCTCCCTCAAAGTAAATTTCTTGATACTAGCCTGTTTGTAGGGACCAGAAGTGTTATGAACGTGGAAATATGGTAGTGCCAAGAAGGTGACAAATGGTATTAGACCAAAATAAAAAATTTATAATTCATTGAAATCTATATCTATTTGATATAAGAAAATTGTCATTCATTTTTACTGAAAAAAATATATGAAATAATTTTTCTTAAAACCCAATAACAAATAATATAGAATTATCGACTGAGTCAGATTGAAAATGTAAATAGACTGCTTACAGAATTTCCAAGTATTGAATTTACATGAAGTTTATTGAACTAAATAATGTTATTGATATATTATTATTGTTTTTGAACTAATTTTTTTATGCAAATTTATTCGCAAAGTTGTTGCCATGCTTACTCGTATTATATAGCAAATACATAACCAGAGTAGACAATCCTAAGATATAGGTATGACGGAAGTACATGTATTACTAAGAAAATACTACGTAACTGGCAGAGTTTTGCGCTTAATTTAATTATGGCAGTAGAACAAGTATTTCAATTAAATTAACAAATACGTAATAGAAAAACCAAATGAAATTTTTTTTAAATGGAGAAAAATTAAAATAATAATAAAGAAATAAAAATGTTAAAAGTAGTTAGATAAACCACATTAAACACAACCTGATTCGCACCGCATATTTTCCAGTTTGCGTATCTCTCACATTTTGCGATCACAACGTAGCTATAAAGTAAGTGAGATACGAGTATTCCAGCGATCATTACAGATGTCTTCACATTGCATATCACATTATTTAGAAACATTTATATTTTATTAGCAAAGGAATTTTAATTGAAACGAGTGAACTTTGCAAAATCCAATCATTAGTCGAGAATGATTAATGAAGAACAAACTGCAGCACAGCAATTGATATTCGCGGATCTCGACAGCACAGGGAAATTTCATTTCAATTGAATAAAATTTTATTTAAAATAAAATTTACTACTAAAACTATTGCTTATATATCTAGAATTCAGTTGAACTAAGCTTTAAAATAATCAACAACAAAGCAACTCATTACAAAGCCTTTATATGGCAACTGATTGACATTAACTCTAAAGCACGCGCCGCAATATAATTCAAATAATTATTGGTAATATCTATTAATACGCTTTGGTCTATAGAAAATGACTATTTAAAAGTCAATACAAATATTAATCAGATGTCATTGTTTAGGGAAAAGTCATATTAATACATACCGTTAAATTTAAGCTGGCGTAAATAATGTAAACATACTTAAAATGAAACTGATGACAGTAATACGAGCATATTTGACATAGATTGTAGACGATAATGATAAAATTAATTATATTTTCCAGCGATTTAATTTTGGTCTCGCAAAACCTTCGCACTAATCATCGACTTAACGAAGATACTCACTAGCAACAAAAGGAAATAACTTGAACCAGGCAAAAACGTACCTATTGATGTAGTACTTTTCAGTAATAGTGAATGACACTAATCGTTAAACTGGTTGACTGGCTTCGAGACTTTAATTTCTAATGTCCTAACTGCAGCTCTACTAATGCATTAGTTTTCGTATCCTAATGCACACACCAATTCGAGTCCAAGTAATCTATATCTTCGTTCTATTAAACAGTTTATTTCCATTAAATCAGTTTAGCTTAAATTAAACTCTCACCCATCCTTATGCCATTCTTGTTCCTAAGCATTCTCCTTCTTTTTCTATACCCAGCCATTTTCTAACCCATGTATACATATTAATCAATCAAATGATAATAACATATCAATCAATGAAATGGCGTGAAGTGCCACAACACACTGACAGGAAAAAACTCAATCAACCCTTACTTTTGATTCAAAAATTTTATTTCTAAGACAAATCTTAATGATAAAGTTTTATAATCCATTATTTATGGTTCTAGATCGTCTCGTCATGTGATGGAAATAAGTCATAATAAAGGCTTATGTATCTGAACTTATTATTGCATAATAATAGCCATCTTTTTATTAAACCCAGTATTTATGATAGCACTCTCCTATATATGTTTTTAATAGAATTATGTTTTAACTCTCATAAATATTCTATAATGAAATATACTTTTATGGATGACTTTATTTAAAATATATATCTTCCTATTTCAGATTTATAGTTTTATTAGGTTGAATTAATTAGCATCAAGATATCACACATAAATAGATCGGTGCCTAGCGATGTCATTAAAGTACGTGGTTAATATAGTTGTAGTCTTACTGAGGACGTCAAATTTGAAATCTAAACTCATGTGTAACACACAACCATATTCCAACTTAGGTTCGAGTTCTTAATAAACTTGATATGGTCAAGATTAATATAATACCTTTATATATATTAAGTCTATGCTATATAAAGATATTGCTAAATGCTATAATACTGCTTCCTTCTGGAAGTGAGTGCCCGTTTTTCAGTGTTATACCTTGAGAGGAAGAGAGGAAGACTCGAACAAAACACTAATCTTCGGTGTAAGGCGTTATGTGCCACTGAGATAATTGAAACTTCATAAATATGTCTTTAAACGGAAACCTCCGGATAACTGCCGCTCTTTCTTTGTAGTATAGTTTTATCCAGGTAAAGTGGATCTATGCCAGGTTTTAATAAACCTAGCGTTGTAATATAGCTTTGTCCGGGTATAGCGGATCTCTACTTTTTCCACAACTCGTCGGTTTTCACAAAACGTAGACTTAATTTCAGTTATTGAAATATATAGATATGCAGTACAGTTAGATTAGGTTGTAACGGCGATCTAAAGGGAGTCTCTTAAACTTATTGGCTATGAGTACTGTTTAAAGAAAAAACCTCAGTGGTTTAAAACCACCTTGAATCTTCGGCAAAGCTTAAAATGCTATTTAATAGGCGGTCTTGCAGCTAACGAAGATCCTCAAAAAAAAGGCAGGCAGTATGAATGCAGTACAGTTGCACGTGCTGTGCTATTTTTAAAATGAACGCATAAACTACAGTTGTATACATTTTCTTAACTATTAAACAATATATTTTATTATCATAACCATATAACAAATTATAATATTTATTACCATAACAAAATAAATTCCACAACTTAAATTATTCACACTTATTACAAAAATTTTAATAGCTATTGAATACAATTTATTTATGGTTAATTTTAATAATTAATATTATTAGTAAAAAATTAGTTTTGTTTTATGTTCTCAGAGCAATATTAAATTATTCGTTATAATTAAAAATTAATTTTAATATTTTTGAAGTTACCATAACCATATCATACATCAATTACCGATTTGATTCGTTTTATGGCGTTAGTTAGTGTGACAAATTATAAAAAGTCTCGTATAAAGTATCTTAACAATTACTTAATTACTGTCACGTCCGAAGTGACACTCAAAATAGTCTTTTTAATTTTTTTTTTTATATGTTTCGTTTTTAACATTTATTTTGAATAAATAAAATATTAGTGTTTCTTAAAGACAATAGTGAATGGAGCACCTTAAACTTACACCACACAATGCCTGAGTTCAATAAGAAATAATATAGCTGGAGTTTATTGCACTGTATTGATAAGCAATCGATGAACTGATTTATTGAAATCAGTCTTTGTCTGATAGAAAATTAATTGAAATTCAAATGTTAATCACAAAAATTGTTTAAATTGTTGAAATTTAAAAAAAATTTAAACAAACTTTTTATATCCAACAAATATTCAATGCTACTCCAACTTCGATTGCCAGTACCACTTATCACTGCCACCGAAGCCGCTACTGAATTCTACCAGGTTCGATTATTTTTAATTAAAATTTTATCTAACAAATATACAATAAATAAAAATAATTAAAATAATACAAAATACAAAATACAAAATAAATGTTGTCGTCATAAGCCGCTATTGTATGTTCTTCATACGTTTCTGTTGTCTTATCAGCTCTTACAGAGTTAAGAAACTTCTGAAAGGTCTTAGAGGCAGCAGACAATTGCCGTAGATAGGCTATATGTATTAAAACCAGTAGCGTTTCAGGTGAAAGAATGAATTAAAATATAAAATAGAAAGTGTTTAGAAAGTATCAGAAATTATTATAGAAAACATACAAAATTGTCAATCAATCAAAATTTATTGCCTCATCTTTAAAAAAGACCCCATTGAGTGCAATTCACCCACAACAAAATTTATTTTGCCAACTTTAAATTCGGGCGCATCGTCAGCAGTATAACCATGTCATCGCTTATCCCAACCTTTATACATTTTTTATGCTCTCTGATTGATAAGTGGCGCATCCAGGGTGAGGATTTAGAGGAATGATTATATCTTGACTATCTAATCTACAGTCTGCAATCTATAATCTATAAAATACACAAAAAAAGCTATTTCTGGTATATCCCTCTTGACACAGTGCTGGCTACACCACTGTGTTTAATGTATAGCCTTCAGCCCCTTCAATGAATTATGTTTGCAATAAGCTTAAAACGCTTCTCTCGGTTCGACGAGAACAGAATAAAGACACATGAGATCAAGCCAGATGAAGATGTTGCTTATCAGATCACAAGCGTTAATATATTTAACCATAAAATCTTTAATAATAGCTTTAATCTAGTTATTCCATAGCTTGTTCATATCAACGTTCTATTTATATTAGTAAGCA